GTCTGGCCAATCATCGCCCTGTGGCTGACTCACACAGGACCTTACTGCGACGAGTGCCACGCTCACACACTTCAGGACCTGCCCCCCCTGGCGGGTGGTTGTGAACTCGTCCGACAGTCAACTTCCGCCAACCTATTCTCCACCATTTCTGTACAGAATAAACTATTCCTTCGTTTCACATCTTGCCTGCCCACACGGAACCAGGAGTGAATATTTGAAACATTTGGCGCATAAACGTGTAGCCAATAAAAATGCAGGAAGAACGACTTACAGACTTGCAGGCGTTTCAACGTTTTTATGTATTGTATTTATCGTCATATTATTTAAGATTGTTTTTTTAAATTATTTAAGTAAAGGAAATGCTGGTTAGGAGGTCGTCTACCTCAACTTACCTGTGGTCCAAATTACCGTTTTGGAGTTATTTTAGTATAGTCCACGCCGCGAAGCGCCGCGCAAACCTTCAATTTACATGTGCAATAACTTACATGAAGCCTTGGATGTCTTTTCTTCCAGTTTTGGAAGCTCTTCACGAAATCATAGAATCATTAAAACGTCCGTCAATATATTGGACGGTCATGCCGCACATTCATTGGTTAAAATTATCCGCCACGTTTGTGCAAATAGGGTCTCTCCGCGGAACCGGGCCTGAAGATCGCAGCGGCTAGGGTTTACTCCCTTCTAACTTCAGTCATTGCGATAGAGCTGCATTACTTGCAGTTTTCAGTGTACAGCCAGTGAGGCAGTCCATGAGACATTAGTTAAAGTCATGCAACCCAAGTCCAGCAGAAGCCCAAGACGCATTTCATTCAACCAAGATGCCGGCTTTCGGCTACGTGCTCATCAAGCCACTCACAAAGACTAGCTAAATGCCTGTTAAAGGAATACAAAACTTGGTTCGTAGATTTTAGCTGCACCCTTATAAATCCAAACCGATTTTATAAAAGTTTGCAAATACTATCCTGTCTTACGCTTATTTAATATTATATTATTTATATATAATGCGGAAGGACATTACTGACAAAGACAAGGGAGACTAGGATGGCTATTTCTGGCTTATAAGTCGTCGTCAGCTAGTCATACCCAGACCCAAGTGGTCTCACACCCGAGCCTCGAACTCGCGACCTCTCTAATCGGAGTCAAACGCCTTAACCATTGACCTACGAGCTCGTTTTTTGCCGGTATTAGATCGGGGATATACAGTAACAGATGCGCGTGCACCAATCTGCTAAAGGACACAATAGTCCGTCCATGGTGCCATT